CATACTGAAGACTGTGCTCTTTGATCTTCATCAGTAAATGTTTTAAGTCCTCTTCACTTTCAGCAAGCAAGGTTGTATCATCTGCATATCGCAGGTTGTCCTATCAAGATCACCCCCTTTGAAATCTCAGTCACTGTAACCTTTTGTCTTGAATTTAACTGGCCTAGCAAAAATTGCTGTGAAGCCACTCTTTTGATTGTATCTTGCTCTCTGGGTCTTATTAGTAAATCTAAGACTCATTCTTGGTTGCGATTCTTAACATAAAATCATCATCATTAACTTTAATCTTGCTTAAAAGATTGATGGAGAGATCTCCTTGTAGAACTAACTTATTTTTTGCACAGTATTTTTGGCACCCATCAAGTTGAATGCTTGCTGAAGCCCAGGTGTTTGGTTAAAAATGAAGATGCTCCATATAATGTGAGATCCCAACTTTACTAGCTTTTGCATCACTTCTGCAGACTTCTTCCACTAATTCCTGGATGTTCAGATACAGTTTCTTTATTTGTTGAGGTCAACAGTCTCTTCTCCCTTGGTTCATCTTTGAAGTCTCCATGACCTTCCTTAAAATACTAGAGCTGTCTAAAAGCTGTTGTTTTATGTGGAGCAGCATTCCCATACACTTGTTACAAAGCATCAGTGATTTGGAAAGATGTCCACTTGTGCTTTGATACTGTTCCTGACCTCAGAATCATTATTTTCCATGACACTCAAAGTATCCTTTTTTCGGAAAGCACCCTAAGGAGACTAAGACAAGTGCTGGGAGAACTTGCCTGCAGCCATCCACTGATTACAGAGATGTGTTCAGCAACAACCCCCCCCCCTTTTTTTTTTTTAAATAATAAACTCGTACATTATGAATTGGAACCCTAGTAGCGATACTTTTTTTTTTTTAACCTGCCCTTGTTCATACTGGAGTAAGCTACTTTCCTTAATAAAACTTAATAAAGCTTAACCATCTCTCCCTTTTAACAAGTCTCCACACCAGCAGTGTAATGTGCTACTGGATGTAAAGCTAGCCTTTTCATTTCATTTTCTGAAATCTTCTTCCTAGGTTTGTTTCTCTTTTCTTCCCACTACAGAGATGTTGTGAGTCTAGAGCAAACTGTCCAATTTTAGAATTAATATTGGCAAGAAGTCATGAACCAGGCAGAATCCCAGAAACATAAATGACAAATGCGTGATGCTGTGCAAGTTACTAAAGAATAGAATGAAACAGAGTTTGACCCTGCCTTCTGGGAGGGAACATACTGATTATGGAACAAAAACATAATTTTTTTTCATTTAAATGACGCCATGGTGACGTTTAATTGTTGGACGCTGGCATAGCCAGGAGTTTTGAGGAAGCAGAGAACCTTGTAGACTGTAAGTTCAGGAGTGTTTGGAACAGAGCAGCTGGCCTCAAACTGCAGAGGTTCATAACCCTGTGTCTTTGTGTTGGCGGGGGGGTGGGGTTCTTGCAATAGAGATAGAAGGAAATGGCATTTTATGTGGTTTTGTAACTCCCAGGATGTTTCCCTGTGGCAGATTGTTTCCAAGCTGAAGGATGAAATTATTCTAATGGAGAAGGAGCGCACTGACCTTCAGTTGCACATGGCAAGAACGGACTGGTGGTGTGAGAACCTCGGCATGTGGAAAGCCTCCATCACCAGTGGTGAGGTAGGACCTCCGCTTTCCTCTGGATTTGAATTTATAAGACAACATTTTTGTCCTGAGTAATTAAGATTGAGGAGGGAAAACTTACATTCATTCTTTAAGACTACGTTGTTTTACTTCCCCATCCCTACCTCCACAACCTTATTGTTAGTCTGTTTGACATATAATTGGAAAACTGTATTTAGGCTGCCTGTGTACATCTGCTCTTGTACCACTTTATATAGAAATTTATCACTGTTAATTGGAGTTATAAGCTAGTTTGGGATGTTGTTGTTGTTGTTAAGTGCCATCGAGTCAGTTCCGACCCATAGCAACCCTGGCTAGGGTTTCTGAGGAGTGGCTGGTGAGCTTGAACCGCCAACCTTGCAGTTCAAACAGCTTTGCAGTCTGGCGCATTAACCCACAGCGCCACACCAGGATAGGACCAATTAATGTCCTTGATTTTATTTTTCCGTTGAGACTTGAAATAAAATGGAAAGCACTTTTTGAAATTTAAAGATCAACATTTTAGATGTTCCTGATAGTTTCAACTTGCTGTGACTTTACTTGCTCAAAACCCAATAGCTCTACAGTCTTCAATAGTGAATATATATTTTTCCCTTTAAATGAGCAATTTTTTTGCTATTCTTTGAGGGATGTAGTTTTCGAAATATACTGTATCACTTTTCTTTTGTCTGCAAAAATACTTGCATTTAGGAAGAAAGGTACTTGCAGGGGTCTACATTGTTACTGCTGATAACTCCTCCTTTCCCATTGCCCATTGTTGTTGTTGTTATGTGCTGTGAAGTCAATTCTGACTTATAGCGACCCTGAACAGGGTTTCCGAGGCCGTAAATCTTCACGGGAGCAGAAACCCTCATCTTTCTCCCATGGAACAGCTGGTAGTTTTAAACTGCTGACCTGTGGTTTGCAGCCCGATTCGTAACCACTACGCTACCAGAGCCCTACTGCCAGTCATATATAAATTAGATATGATAGTCTTGTCCACAATATAACGCAAAGAACAGTGTCAGTGTCCTAAGCAAGACAATGGTCATGCTTTGTCCTATTATTGTTTCATAATGCTTGTTGAATACTCAACAACTGAGATTTGCAAGGACACATCTACTTGAATTGTGTATACCTTTGTGTATCTCTACCTTTGTCCCTTCAACCCAGTTACTGTTAATACTCTTACTGGGCTTAAATTCACAACCTTAATTCACCTCTGGATTAAACAGCAAAACAAAGCATGTTCCCCACGAACTACCTTACAAGCGCAGACATTACATGGGAGGTTAAACAAGTACTCTTTGTATGCCCTTGGCACTTGCTGGCACTCTCATCAAGCTAAGCTGCAGGACAATAAACTTCTTGAGGTGAGGCTGGGGCAGTGGGTCAGAGAAGGTTACACTCGGCCTGGTTGTACCATTGAAAAGAAGCCTGTAATAATTGCAGATGGAGATATTTGGGGTGGAAATCCAGGAAGTGATAGATTTCTAAGGCTACATGATGTCAAAAGATAGTAGAATATGCCAGTGGAAGGGAAATAACATAAACTCTGTTACCTCCTCAGTTTTGCCTCAGGCTGTTTTGTGGTTGTTAGGTGCCATCCAGTCAGTACCCACCCATAGCGACCTTATGCACAGCAGAATGAAACACTGCCAGTTCCTGGGCCAACCTCACCACTGTGGCCACGCTTGAGCCCATTGATGCTGCCACTTGGCCAATCCATCTCGTTGGGGGTCTTCCTCTTTTTCTCTGACCCTCACCTTACCAAACATGATAGCCTTCTCCAGCGACTGTATGTTTACTAAAATCATATTCCGAAGGCAAATGTTAAGAAAGAAAAAGCACTTACCAAGGCCCTTAGTTCTAATATCAACAGTTGCTCAAGAGTTTGCTATGGTACCTTGGTCACTGAGAAGTAAATAGAAACAGAGAAGTCAGCCGACTCCCAGAGTCCACAGAGTAGACCCACATAGGAATGTGTAATGGAAGGTGATGTTGATGCTGTATTAGTCTCCCCTGAGTTCTCATACAGGGCAACTCACTTAATAGATGTGTCATCCTGAAAAAGCCAGTTACCCTGCCTGCGCTTCCCATCCCTGCAGTGGAACAATAGGCCTAACCTTGCAGGGCTCAACAGGGTACTCAGCAAATCTCTTTGTGATACCAGTTCAAATATAATTTCCATGTATTGTTTTTTTGTTTATTCTCCATGTATTTATGTTAAAAATAATAGTAGCCAATCTAAAATTATGATTGTGTGTTGTCTGTGTGACGAGTCGTAAATTAAGAGGTAGAAGAAATTGTATCTCCCAATGAAGAGTTTCACAAGACTAGACATGATGGTTTGTTGAGTCCTAAAATTAAACTGGGAAGACCCTCTGCATGAGATTCTGGAACAGCAGACACCTATCTATCTACTTGCTGTTCAATTCCTTTTTCAAGGAAGTTCATGCAGCTAGGATTGTTTTAAGCCTGCTGTGTTAATTTTCTGTCGCTATGTAACAAATTACCACAAAAAACTTCGTAGCTTCAAACAACTCCCATTTATTAGTTCATGATCTGTATGTCAGAAGCCTAGCATGGTGTGGTTCAGTGCTCTGTTCAGTGTATAATAAGGATGAACTCAGTATCTGAGTGCTTGTCCTGAGGATCTGGGGGAAAGTTCATTTCCAAGGTCATGAATTCTGTATTGACAGAATTCAATTCAGTTCCTTGCAGATAGTAGGACTGAGGTCCTTGTGTCCAGCTGGCTATTGACTTGGGGGTCACTCTGAGTTCCTAGAAGTCCTCTCAGCTCCTTTTCATATATCTCCTCCATCTCAAAGCTAGCATGTCAAATCTTTATGCTTTTAATTTCTCTGCCTTTTTCTCAACTTCTTAGGTTAGGCCCACCCAGATAGTCTCCTTATTTTATAGTCAGCTGTGCCATATAACATAACCTAACTACTAGAATGAAAGCCATCATATTCACAGCTTTGGGGATTACACAGGGCATGTACATCAGGGGTTGAGGTGTGGGAATCATGGAGGACATTTATAATTTTGCCTGTCACATCTACTCATCCTGCTTTTTTTTTGCTGCTGTTGTTTTCAAGGTTACAGAAGAGAATGGTGAGCAAATGCCCTGCTACTTTGTCATGGTAAGCTTACAAGAAGTTGGAGGAGTTGAAACAAAGAACTGGACAGTTCCGAGAAGGCTCAGTGAGTTTCAGAATTTACACCGGAAACTTAGTGAGGTATGAATACTTGTGAACACAGGATTCTAGAATGATTGAACAAAAAGAGATTCAAGATCTCATTTTTACAGATAAAGAAACTGATTACTCCTTTTTCTTTTTCTGTTGATATGGCAAAGTGGCATTTTTGGCTTGGCATTTGGAAATTTACTCAGAGATTATCTTGTCTAGTCTAGATCCTTTATGATTATATATATATATATATGTCTGATCTTCATTGTAAATTCCCATAGAACTTCATTGCTGCAAGGGACCTGTGGATTCATCTAGGGCTAGTGGTTTTGAAGCTGCCAGAGGTGGCTCAGTAGTGGATAGTTAAATCAATTACAGATATTATAGGTTACACCAATAAAAACAGGATAGACTATATTGGAGTGCATCACTTGTAGTAGAAGAGGCAGCAAAATGTAGTTGTTGAAAGTACAGACCCCAGAGACAGATTGTATTAAGTTCAAATCCTAACTCTGCCACTAACTAGCTATATGACTTTGTCACTCAATCACTTTGTACTCCAGTTTGCTCATGAATAAAATACAAATAGTAGCTACCCCACCTGATGCACAGGATTGTGAGAATTAAGGGAGTAAAGAGATGCAAAGCAATAATTTTTTACCTTCCACTCAGGCCATTTCCTGAGTGAATCTGGTCCATTTACTTTCATTTTATTTAAAAAATTCAAAGTGCCAAAGTATTTTTCCTGTATATTTGTCTCACAAAGTGGGCATCTGAATATATATACAGCAAAACCTTGGTCTTAAATTGCCATCTTATTTAAAAGACATGAATATAGTTACATGTTTTTAAAATTCCATTAAAAAGATTATCTTTTTAAATTATTATTATTGTCTTCATCATATTAAAATTAATGGTGAACTCCTAGTAGGATAAATCACGTCTCATAACAGGAAGAATCCCAGTATCCACAAAAACAAGTTTACCCAGAAATCTTTGTGGGCAGAGGGACAGCGGCACTTTCTCATCTTATTCAAAAAGACCCTTTCAACTTTGATGATTAGTGGCCACTCACTGAAAGAATGAAAAATCTGGGTTCAGGTTAGTATTGTGAGGAAGTGAGCAAGATACCCACTAAGGAAGATGTCCACATTTGTGGATTTAGAGACATAATAACCTCATATGGATGCGAAAGCTAGACAGTGATTAAGGAAGATCGTAGAAGAATTGATACCTTTGAGTTGTGGTGTTGGAGGAGAATACTGAAAGTGCCATGGACTGCCAAAAGAACCAATAGATCTGTTTTGGAAGAAGTGCAACCAGAGTGCTCCTTGGGGGCCAAGATGGCTAAGCTTTGTCTCTCAAACCCATGTAGACCCCAAATTTAGCTTGAGTTAAAAGTTGCTGATTAAATATAGAAGGAAAGAGGAAAGGGAATTTAAGGAAGACTTTGACATAAAATATACTTGGGAAACAAAATATACTTAGAAAATAGAAAATAATTACTCTGAAGGTAGTAGGAGAAAGAAGCATTGTAAAATTCCATGTCCATCTCACCTTTTCTTCATCTGTGCACTGTTCTCTCCCTTTCTGTTCCTATCGTGTGAGTTTTCATTTTTGGAAAGAACTTTCCTGTGGACAACTGTCACAGGAAGCACCTTTCCGATCTCTGGTGATTTTAATTTCTCTTCCAACTCACTTCTCTAAAATGTCACCCTGAATTTGGTCCCTGACTTATTAGAGCCTTCTTAGGTGAATGTCGTAGCACTTGTGGTCTACATAGGAAAGGCCAGGTTTCCGTTTTCCTTTTTCACCACCCAGGGTACTCGCATGCACTTATTACCATTGTTGTAACTAGTTGCCTGTTGTATCTTTGCTGTGGCTTTAACAGCCAGGGACTGCTGTGACCCTTCCCCATACTGATGATGACAAGAGGAGTGGAAAACATGGCAGGAAAACTCTATGCTCATTTGCTTTTCAATCCCAGCCGATTTCATGAAGTATTTCAAATGGCTCCAGTGCCTTAATGAAGACCAGTGGTTGGAAATAGTGGGTGGTAGGGTCTGGTGCATTTGGAGCCTACTCTTTCAATGCCTGGCAGAGTTTTGTGGGAATTATCACTAAGTCAGTGGACCTCGGTTTTCATTCTGAGCCTTGGTTCTTTCACGTGTAAAATAGAAATGAATAACTCCCAACTCAAAAGACTATGGGGCGAGGAGTAGGGGAGGGTTGGTGGCAGGAAATAGCACATGCCAAGCTTCTGGCACAATGTCTGGGAAAGTATAGAACTTCATCCACAAAGGATGGCCTATTGCTGTTCATTAATAATATATTTTATTATTGTTAGATTTATATTGTACAATTTGCAATTTAAGTTTTTCTTTCCATTGTCTCCTACAACACAAGTTGTTCTTTCCATTGTTTCCTTTGCCAACTTTGATAACTTTTTACAGAGACATTATAAGCAAAACACATGGTAATAGAATTTTTTTCTTCCAGTAACACAGGTTTTCAGGCCTACTGTATTTCACTGCTGTTAGGTGTTGTGCAAATGTGCACTCTGCAAACCCATCTTATCAGCCTAGTGTTGTGATTTCCTAGCTCTCAGGTTTTGTAGGTTTGAGTTGTAGCTTTTTCTATCAAGTGTCCTATTCCTCCAGGTTCTTTGAGCCTGATTAATACAGATAGTTTCAAGGCATCTTAAATCAGAACAAGTAGAGGAGGAAGATGTTTGATGTTTTCTAACTTTGTAGCATGGTAGGATAAGCACTGGTCAGCAATTCAAACCCACCAGCTGCTCCTATACAGGATCACTATGAGGTGGAACCAACTCGATGACATTTAACAACAACTATAATAACTCTCTGGTTTCCCAAGTATGCTGTCCTTCTTCAGGGACTGTTCCCTCCAGATAATATGTCCAAAGTACAGAGGTGAAGTCTTGCCATACTCGCTTCTAAGGAGCATTCTGGCTGTACTACTTCCAAGATAGATCTGTTCATTCTTCTGGCAGTCCATGGGATATTCAGTATTCTTCCCTAACATCATGACAAATACATCCGTTTTTCTGTGGTCTTGCAGAGGGTTAGTGAAAAAGAGGAAAATTCTCTACAAGGTGGATTGACACAGTAACTGTAACAATAACTCCAGCACCCCTGCTGCTGTGAGGATGGCATGGGACTGGGCAGTGTTGCATTTTGTTGTCTTAGGGTCACTACGAGTCAGAGCTAACTCAAAATCACCTGACAACAGCAACATGTGTAATGATAGTGTTTTAAGATTAAAATATAATAGCATAATACTAATAACATTTGATTTTTTTTCCCCCCACAGTGTTTTCCTTCTTTAAAAAAAGTCCAGTTGCCTTCTCTTAGCAAGCTGCCTTTCAAATCTATTGATCACAAATTTATGGAGAAATCAAAGAATCAATTAAATAAATTTTTACAGGTAAGCAAATGAAAGTCTTGTTGTTGTTGTTTTTAAGTGAAACTGTCATCATCTTAACAGCTTGCTGCTTTGTGTCCTGTTCTCATGGTTCATGCTAGAACCTTTGTATTGAAGCATAATGTACATACCCAAGAGCACACATGACTTGGAGATACAGCTTTCTCCGTTTTCATGAACTCCACACCTAGTCCAAGAAACAGAATATTTCCAATACCCTGCAGCTTCCTTCCCATCACTACTACCTACACTAAAGCCAACCACCATCCTACCTTCTAACAGCAGTAATTGGGTACACTTGTTTTTTGATTTCATGTAATTGGAGTCATACAGTCTGGGCTCTTTTGTGCCTGACTTCTTTCACTCAACATACATGCATGAAATTCATCCATCATGTTGTTTTAGTTGTTGTTGTTGTTGTAATTGTGCTGTCGAGTCAGTGCGGACCCATAGCCACCCTGGAGAGGGTTTCCACGACCTTGCAGTTCAAACTGACCTTGCAGCCCAACTTATTATCCTACAACACCACCCCAGGATTCACTGAATAGGTCTTTTGTTGTATGAATACACTACAGTTTATTTGTTCTCCTGTTGGTGGGCATTTGGATAGTTTCCATTTTGAGGCTATTGTGGGGAGTGCTTTTGAAAACCTTGTGCTCATCTTTTAGTGAATGTATGTTGCGTATGATGTGGTGATGGTGTGGCACTATGGGCTATTGTGTCAGACTGCAAAGTCATTTAAACTGCAAGGTCAGTGGTTCAAGCTCACCAGCTTCTCCTTGGAAACCCTATACAGGGTCTCTATGTGTCGGAATTGACTCAGTGGCACTTAACAACAACAACAACATGGTGTGGTGCTGTGGGTTAATGCACTGAACTGCAGAAATCAGTTTGAACTGCAAGATCGGCAGTTCAAGTTCACCTGCCGCTCCTCGGAAACCCTATACAGGGTGTCATTATAGGTTGGAACCTACTCGACTGCACTTAACAACAAAATAACAGACCTAGGAGGAATGGGTTTGCTAGGTTATAGGGTATGTTTGTGTTATCCTTTAGGACATACTTCTGTAGAGTTTTTCAAAGTGCTTCTTTCTAGCAATCTCACCATAGTGTTTAGATTGTGTGCGTATATACATTTATAAAAGAATTTCCCTAAGGAAATCAAATAATTGTAACTTAGAAAAACTTCCTGAACTTTATTATGGCAGAACCATTAATGTTGAAATGTTCTTCAAAGATAGAATTTAAGACTAGTATTACCGTTTTACTGATGATGCAGAAGGACTAGGAAATACTAAATGTACTTAGCATGGAGTACCTGATTAAATCATTTAGATGAATTTAAGGTCTAGTTTGTTCCCTGAATGTGTGTGGGACAAAGAAATCAGTTTGACTTTGGTTCCTGAAGGAATTTCCTGCAGTAGAGATGCCTTTTTTGAAGGCAGCCAGGCATCACTTACATTGGTGCCAGTGAATGGGGATCACTAACCTTAGAAAAGGAGGGGGAATGATTTAATCTTGCATAGTCACTGATTCAGTTAATCATGACTATGCAATGAGGCCCTAGTCATAACTCTGCAATAAAACTGTTAACAGCCTTTGAGCATGCAGGTTTGGGAGCTTCCTAGATTGGTGAGAACATCGCTCTGGGGAGGAAGATGCGTCCCTAGGACAGTGAAAGCCCCATGCCAGGACGCCTGCCTGATACAGTCTTGCTTGATGTGTTTCTCTGTTTTTATCTTTTCTGGTTGCAATAATTGGGTAACTGCAACTGAGTAGTGTCAAGAGAATTCTGTGAGCTTTCCTAGAGAATTAATGAACCTACAGGTGGCAATGAGGGCCAGCCAGTGTTTGGATCTGCCTATTTGGAGACTTGGTGTGGCACTGTAGAATAAACACTGGACTGCTAACTGCAAGTTTGGCAGTTCAAACCTACCAGTGTTCCTTGGAAATCCTATACAGAGTTGCTGTGAGTTGGAACCAATTTGGTGGCACTTAACAACAACAACAGCAGCAACAATTTGTCTGTCAGACACAGTCCTAACCTGTGAACCATGCCTTATCTTGGGGTGATTAATTTGGAGAAAGACTGAGCAAGCAGTTGATGAGAAGGACAAAGTCCTATTTTGGCTTGGCTCAGGGCAGTCAGAGGTGAGATAATGCGCTGCAACAAGGATAGCAGAGGCTATGGAACTGGGGGAAGATGAAAACTTGATCCATTTCCCTGTGGGAATTGGTCTCATGCTGGTCCCTGATCCTTACCACACAGTTAGCAGAGAAGGTGGGATATACCCACTTTGCCCCCAGCTTATTAGCATTGTAATATGTGTTATTAAAATTGAAGATTTTAAGTCCCAGGTATTTGGCTTTGAAATCCTCCAGCTGATTCTTTGGTTTAACCCTGGGAGGGTCTCTGTTTTGTCCTCCCAACCCTTATGACACCTTGTCTGCAGAGATTGGGCTTCTGCTCTGCCCTTGCAGCAGTGCAGGGCGAGTTTTATCTGTGCTTTTAATGAACTGTGGTTGTTGGAAATGGGTTAGTGAATTATGCTGCTGTGCTGAGAGAAAATGCGCTCTGGTGCACAGCTAGTAGGTGACGTGAGCATGGCTTAGAGTGAGAATAAGCAGCAAATTCAGGTGAAACTGGTCCCCAGTGACCTTTTAATGTAAAAGGGTTTTAAATGAGAGAAAATGAAGGCTTGCATTGGTTGTCATTTTCTCACAGACCTTATTTGAACCTGCTCACCATTCAGTAGATAGGCTACACAGCAGACTACAGTTTCAGAAATACCCCACAAACTGCAAACAGTAAAAGCAAGATGTGGCATGGCTAGTTTGGTCTGTAAGGCAGATATTATTAAGTCCATAGGATTCCACGGAATGTTTGTTTGTTGTTAGCTGCCTTTGAGTTGACTCTGTCTCCTCATGATTGTATACACAACAGAAAGAAGTGTTACCCAAACCTGTGTTAACCTCACAATCGCCAGCCTGTTAGTCCATCTTAAACATTCCTGAATGTTTATATATATTATATGGTTCCCTAACAAAGCATACTAATTAATACAGACATTTGATAGTCTGGCTAATCATTCTTGCCCTTGCTATCAAATATATGCCTTGCTTCATGCCTGTGTACCATACCAATTACTCCAGCCTTGCTGAACTTCTTTACATTTCCCCCCAACAGTCCTCTGCTCATTTCTGGGCATGCATGTGCTATTAGCTCTTGGAATGGTCTTCCCCTTCCTCCATCAGCCACTGAGTTGTCATTGTAGATTTTCACTAGATCAAAATGCTCTAAGTGTTTCTGTGACGGTATAGGTGGGGGTTAGGGAATTTACTGTCCCAGAGTGGAGGACCCTGGGACCACCAAGGAAGAAGAGCAGGAGCAGAGTGTGGGACCCTACCCAGAGAAGCAGCGATACCAAAGATGGAGGCAGAGATGATGACATGGAGAGACAGAGTAGCTGAGGACTCTAGACTCAAGGAGGGAGGGGGATGTGTGCTGGCAGCCAGGGGCAGGCTTGCAGGGTGTGCCCTTTGGTGTTTGAATGATTGTATATTCCTGAGTGTTTTGGTGCACATCCAAACAAACAAACAAAAATACCAGAGGGAATAGTAGCAAATACTGTTGAATGATGAAGCATGCAGGGGGTTGTAATCATTACAATGAAACAAATGCAGTAGGATGTCCCCATGTAAACTATCAATTCACAATAAAAACTTAAAAAAAAAAAAAAAGGTAATTATAAATGCATATATTCTATGCTGATCAAGATTAGGAGGTATCTTAGCAAATACAGTTTATCAGAGCTTTCTATATGTCAAGAATATTTTGTCTCTCATCTTAAAATGTTTGAAAGTAACAATTATTATTTTATATAAAAACAAACAAAATAATGTTGGAGTGTGGATTAGCTGAAGAATCAGATGAGTCCAGGAGACCGTGTAACTCCTAACGTGCGCTTACATACCAGTTGAAGTGGATATTTAAAATCTGAAGAGGGAATATAGGCCTATTTATTGGGTGCAGAGACAGGGAAGGCAGTAGTGGCACTGGTTGCCTGTCTCCCAGAACTCCTTTCCTCTACCACTAGACTACTGCGGGATACAGGAAGCTGCTGACCACTGAGTGCTGGGCCCTCTCAAGGCTGCTGATTCTAGGGAGAGTCTTAGGGTTTGTCAGATTTCCATCTTTGTCTGAACAAATAGAATGTGAACTTGTGGACCTAGAGCTTAACCTGCACTGCCACCCTAGCTGTGGCTTCAGCACAGTCCTCGGTGTTTTGTCTTCCCCAAGAGTGTGAGTCCTGGTGTGGCACTATAGGATAAGAAACGTTGGGCTACTAAAGCAGCCACTCCTGGAAACCCTGTACAGGTTGTTTTGAGTCAGAACTGACTTGATGACACTTAACAACAAAGGGGTTACATCCTAAATGGGGACAGAGTTCCCATTGGATTGTTCCTGAGCTCATTATCTTATATTGCTTGGCACCCTGTGGTCACTTTGTTAAGTTCACTGGCTTATCCTAGCATTGGCTTGTACATAACAAACTTGATTTATATTCTCCTTTCTTCACTCCTGAAGTTAGAGAAGTCCACACAGAACTTTAGGAAATTTTCAGTTTAAGGGCCAGTAACAGCAGTATATTGGTGTAGACAAGCACGTTGTGGAAAGCAGCAGCACGGTGAAGTTAAACTAGTTCCTGCAGGCAGTGCCACCATGTGATAACTCAAAGTTCTGTTTTCATGTACAAAGTCTGACCACAGCCATAAAAGGATGGTTCAGTGGTGTCTATGTGTATGTAATGTGCAAAATGTTAAGTTGTTCAAATATAAATGCAAGTTAAGCTGCCTTTGAAAGGTGGCACCCCGCTAGCATGTAAGCTATGCTGTTGTTTTGTGTCATTGAGTTGGTTCCAACCCATAGTGACCCTGTATAGGGTTTCCAAGGAGCAGCTGGTGAGCTTGAACCACTGGCTTTGCAATTCAAACTGACTTTGCAGCCCAGTGCATTAACCCATAGAGCCATACCAGGCATAAGCTGTATACAAAATAAGAATTTTTAGTTGCATGAACTGGACTGGAATGAGTAGGGGTTTTACAAACTTGAGGGATTTCTATCGTCTGCACAATATCCCCACAAGCACAGTGAATTTGGACACTCTATAAGGAGCTTTGGTAGTGTAATGGTTACGAATCGGGCTGCGAACTGCAAGGTCAGCAGTTCGAAACTACCAGCTGTTCCGCGGGAGAACGATGAGGCTTTCTGCTCCCGTAAAGATTTGTAGCCTCGGAAACCCTGTACAGGGTCGCTATGAGGCAGAACTGACTCCACGGCACAGCCAAACCAGCCAATAACACTTAGCTTGGAAAGCAGTATTTACCATTAAAATCACTGACAGTTGACCCAACGTCTTTTATTTAGGTGGGGACAGGTCAAGAAAATGGTTTTAGATTTAGAATTATGACCAGAGTAAATGCCCCACTACAATCAAGTCTACATTGTTTCCCGCTACTTGTAGTAGCTCTCATTAGTGTGGATATGCTCCTATTTAGGAATAATTAATCCTCTTTTTTTCCCCACAGAACTTGCTTTCTGATGAAAGATTATGTCAGAGTGAAGCACTTTATGCCTTTTTGAGCCCTTCTCCTGACTACCTCAAGGTCATTGATGTGCAGGGGAAAAAATCCACATTTTCATTAGCCTCATTTTTGGAAAGAATTCCTCGTGACTTCTTTTCCCACCAGGAGGTGAGTTTCTTAAAGATTGTGCCAATTTTGTAATACATTTGACTGGATGTCTTTTTGAAGGCTCTTTGAAGTAGTAGCTATTTGTTGAAAGTATACTACTAGCTAGTGAGACAGGGAAAACAAATCATCTGTTTTCAGTGGTTATCACCACAATATTTGGGGGAACCTACTTGTCCTCCCCTACAAGTCACTTGGAAGAGACAAGATAGAGCCATGACAAGATTAATAAAGGTGGGTAAGTGAAATGTGGATGGGAAGTTCATTAGGAGACCTTCTACAACAAAGCAGAGTACACAGTCCCTGGGGCTTAGGGAAGCAGAACGAGGACAGTCATTCTGGAGAAATAGGAGATCATTTTGAAGGTTCAGGGAGAAGGAGGGTGTGCTTTGGAACAGTCAGTGCATCATTTCACCAGATGGGAGGTTTCCGTAGTGGTCTAATGGAAGATAAGGCAAGGAGTACAAGGAGGGAGCAAGGTCATCGAAGGCCTCAAATGTCCTGCTGAGGAGTTTAAATGTTACTCTTTGGGAATGAAGAGCCAAGGAGTATTTTTGAAGCAAGATAATTCTAGCAGTTGTAGTTATAGATAAAGGAATGGCTCAAGAGAGACTTCAGATATTTGTATTCCTATATTTAGGGCATTAGACTTTCCTCCATTGCAGGATCTTGATTCACTTTAAGCCACTGGAACTCCTTCCTTCATTCTCTAGCAAATTGCATAAGAACATCTTTGAATTTTGGTATCTCCTCAGTCCTTCCCCAAATGCCACTTTCCTTACTTGCATTCTTCACCAGTATTGTTAAAAGAGTTTGGGTAGAAGGAACCAAAGATGAAAAGGAGCATCTTACTTTACTTTATTCTGAAATGGGCCAGAAATCAGTATAGACCCTTGAAGCATACACACACCTCTGTTCAGGTCGATGTGTAGACCCACTTCCATGCTAAGCTTCTGTTGTGGCCATCCATGCTATGCCTAACTTACCTCCATTTATCTCCCCATTTATTTCTGAATTTATAGTATGGCTCAGTCATTCCTGAAAATTATTTTTTGAAGATGAGTGTCAGTGTCTAAATCTAGTGGCTTCCTCTCAGTCCTTGCCTTCCTTTAAGCCTAAATACATTTGATGTTTCTGGGTTTCCAAGTGTTTTTATAGAACTCTCCGCTTCTGTGACTTCTCCTTAGTCTGTTCCTCTTTTCTCCCAATATAGATAACCCCCATTGGCCCTTTCCTCTTGGTGCCACCGCTTCAGTTTTTACCTCTGTGTAGACATTGGAATGACCTTTCTCAGCCATCCTTCCACAGCGTAATGTTTGTATCTCTGTGGTAGCACTCTATCTTGCCTTGTAGAAGTAGCTACTTGAGTATTTATGAGTACACCCAGGAACCTGTGAGCCCCTAAAAGTCTGGATCCACATCAGTTTCACTGGCATTAGCTTGGTGCCTAGCATATGACAAGTTCTAAACTGAACCCTGCAGATATGCTGATCAGGAAATGAGGTTTCACTCGAGAACAGAGTAAAAGCTTGCATCGGAACTTTGAAAAAAAAACTAAATTATTTCCAAATGCACATGTTTAAAAAAAGAATGAATGAGTTTAAAATAATTAAATTAAAAAGCATTACTGTTGAAACTTAAAATGTTTAGGAAGCAATTTTATTGTCTGTTAATTTACTGATTATTAATATAGTGACAGGAGTTTTTAAAATTACCTTATTTTAAAGCTTGAATCGGACTTTTGAATCAAGCTTTTTCCTTAGGTTACATGCGTGCAACCCTCCATATTAAAAATAGACCGATTTCTGCATATGGGAAAGGTGAGGAATTATTATGTAAGGCTAAAACATGAGCAAAGAGTTAGAAATTCATTTTTGAAGGAGAACAACTCTACCAGTTTTCTTGGATACGTGACCTGACTCCCGTAACTCTGTTGTGCCCTCAGGAGGAGGCCGAGGAGGACAGTGACCTGTCAGATTACGGTGACGAGGTGGATGGGAGGAAAGACTCCTTGGCTGAACCATGTTTCATGTTGATTGGGGAGATTTTTGAACTTCGAGGAAGTAAGCTGCTTTGTTATTATTTCGTAGTATCTGTTGGTTAATTAACAAAGACACCTAATACCCTAATATCCCGCTATTCTTGAAATCAGAGATATATTGATATTCATGCATTAATTCACTCAGGTATTTTAAGCGCCACCCAGATACTATGTTAGGTACCGAGTCAATATAACCTTTAGACAGATACTGCCTCTGTACTCATCGAGCTTAGGGTCCTGATTTACCCAGCATCATGTTCAGCTGAGTATAGAAAATACAGAGATTCTGGAATTTCTTTTCATGAGACTCAGTTTCATCTCCAAAACTTACTCAGAAGATCATTTTGTCTAGCAGAGGAACAGCCCTCTTGTCAAAAGGTGAGGTTTTAGTGCTGGTGAGCTAAGTCTCAACCCAATTTTCAATGACCTGTATTCCCTTAGAACAGCAACTCTCATTGTGGGGTGGGGTTGGGAGTGCAGGGATAGTTTGTCCTCCAGGGAATATTTGTTGTTGTTTGGGGACGTTTTGTTGTTGTCACAGTTCAGGGAGAAGAAGGCCCTACTGGCGTCTAGTGGGCCCATAGGACGGCCCCTCCCAACAAAGAATTACCCTGCTCACATTGCCAATAGTGCCAAGGTTGAGAAACCATGTTCTCGAGGTTTCTTAGGGAGATGTACTTGGAACAATAGCAAAAGGGGAACAAAAATACCTGTTGGTTTTTTTAAGGCTTTCATTGTGAATTGAGTGATAGCTATATGCCAGAGCATCTGTTTACTCTCAACCAATCACCAGTCGTTATTTTGTTTCAGGGCAATGATTACAATCCCATCCATGCAACATTGGTTTTCAGGGCAATGATTACAATCCCATCCATGCACCATTGGTTAACAGTATCTGCCTCTATTCCCTCTTTTTTTTTTTGATGTACACAGAAATACACAGGAATATATAATTGTTTAAACAACAAAAGGGCACATTTTGCAAGCCAGCCTCCTGCCCGCCAGCATACAGCCTTTCTCTTGGCATGAGTGTAGAATCCTCAGCTGCTCTCTCTCCATGCCATCACCTCTGCCTCCATCTCTGGTGTTGCTGCTTCTGTGGTCCTAGGGTCCTCTGAAAACTACCATTTTGAAAGACTGCAGTAGTGTCTGGACCCACCCGCCAAAAACAGAACTTTGGTGAAAGGTTAAATTGGAGTACATGACTTTGTCTTGAGTCCCTAATAGGGCTCTTTTCCACAGTCTCCCAAAACTAAACCTGAGACCAGAATATTCTCTCATAGCTGGAGCCTGGAAGTGTAGCAGGCACCTAAAGGCATACCCAGCCACCTAGAAGAGAAAGTGAATGAGAAGAGCAAGAATTTGCACAGCACAGTAATATCATCTACCAGTAAAATGCTGTCACATGAGTTTCCTAGACTCTGTTGACTCAGATTCTAGAGGAAGAAAAGAACTTGGTCCTATGTGAGAAATGAGGCTCTAGACATATCCCTTCTTATTTATTCCTTACCATGTCACTGGATGAATTACTGACAGATGAAAATATTCGAGTGTTGTTAAACACTTGATATGCTTGTTTTCTGTTTCTTTAATCTTCTTGTTATTAAGTGCCGTGGAGCTGGTTCTGACTCATAGCAATCCTGTATAGGGTTTCCAAGGAGCAACTGGTGAATTTGAACCACTGACCTTGTTGTTCAAACCGACCTTATGATCCAGTGTTTATCCTACAGTGCCACACGAGGACTTAGAATATAATAATGGAATCCTGGTGTAGCACTGTAGGATAAGTACTGGACTGCTAACTGCAAGGTCGGCGTTTAAAATTCACCAGCTGCTCTTCAGGAAACCCTATACAGGGTCACTGAGTTGGAACCAACTCCTCAGCACTTGGCAAACAGCAACACATACGATTATGAAATTCTGGTGGAACAGTGGGTTAAGCTTTGGGCTCTTAACTGAAAGCTTAGCAGTTCAAACCCACCAGCTGCTCCGCAGAAGAAAGCTGAAGTTGTCTGTTCCCTAAAAGATATGTAGTCTCTAACACCCTACGAAACACTTCTGCTCTGTCTTATGGGGCTTTTATGACTTGGAATTGACTTGGTGGCGGTGGGTTTGGTTTTGGTTTTGTATTATAATGCCGGACCCATGTTTGGTGATCACTATAATGCCTGGTTCAGTGAACTGATAGATGAATGGGCAAGAAAAATGTAAATGCAGGAATTAATTATCTTTGATCTTGAGTGAATTGTCATAGAACTTTTTTTCCTCCTAAGCCAAAGCTAAGAGAATATATGTATTACGAATCAGCCAATAATTTTGGAGCACATATTTTATATATAGCTCTGTAGAAAAAACAAGAAAATATATCAACTGTATATAGGTTCTGCCTTCATAAATTTATATTTTAGAGCTTTACTGATGTAATTCGTATTAAACAGTACACATGATTCTAAACTGTAGGCAAAAATTTATATATGAATATTCATTTTAGCATAATTTTAGTGATAAAAAGTTGCAACTAAGCTGAACTTCAGGAAAGAGAGTAACCAAACACCAACTCCACTGTCATCAACTCGATTCTTATTTGATTCCAACCCATAGCTATGTGGGGTTTCCAAAGCTGTAATTCTTGGTGACCCTGTGCACCACAGAATGAAACACTTCCCTTTCCTGCTCCATCTTCACAATTGTTATGGTTGAGTCCATTGTTACTGCCACTGTGCCAGTTCATCTCCTTGGGGGTCTTCTTTTTCACTGACCCTGCGCTTTTCTAAGCATGACGTCCTTCCCCAGAGACTGATCCCTGGTAATATGTCCAATGTACAAGAGACAGTCTTGCGATCCTGGCTTCTAAGGAGCATTCTGGCTGTACTTCTTCCATGACAGATTTGTTTGTTCTTTTGGCAGGCCATGATATTTTCAACATACTTTGTGAACACCATAATTCAATTCTTCTATGGTCTTCCGTATTTATTTAAATTGTTCAAGAGCAAAGATACTATTTTGAGGGTTAAGGTACACCTGACCCAAGCCATGGTATTTTCAGTCACCTGTAAATATTTACAGAGTAGAAAGCTTCACTTTTCTCCCAAGGAGCAGTTGGTAGGTTTGAAGTACCAACATGTGGTCAACTGTCCAGTGTTTATCCTGTAGTACCACTAAGGCTCATTTGAAATATTTTTGTTGTTGAGTGCTGTTGAGTTGGTTCCAAATGAGGATAGTTAAATTATTGAAGAAATATCCATATGGTAAAATATTCAAATATTAAAAATCCTTTAACATGTAAAAGTTATAATCTTTTCATGTCTTAGACACTTTAAGAAATAAACTGATACTTAAACATGATTCAGAATCGAGTACTCTACCTGGAATGTGAATATGGTGCCTGGCTCTTCCTCAGTGAAATATGGCCCACTGATTCATTAACACTTTCAGTCTCCCATAGAGTTGATAAGAACATGAAAGCATTACCCTCTGTCAGATTGTTCTTTGTGAAACAAAGTCAATTGAGAATGGTGGATGTGCCGAGTCAGTTGCGACATGGATTCGGAATCCTGTCTTTGTTGTGTGTACTTCCTCCATTACATTTCTGCTCAGAGGCATATTTAGTTTTACTGGTGACATTTCAGAGGGGAATAAATAGAACTCCATTTATAATGAGATGTGATAAATTTGCCATCAGCAGAATCCTAGTTCTGCTGCAGCTGCCTCTGTTGAACAAATGAGCCCTTGAAAAAGTGATGGTGCTTGTGTATGTGTGTGTGTGTGGTAGGGGGCAGGGTTAGGGGCTGAGGAAGGATAGAAACAGTCATAGAGTAGTGGGAGATCATTTATGTTTCCTGCTTGCGTCAGTCTACAGCCTTTTTATAACCAGAAGGATACCTGGTGATGCAGTGGGTTAAGCTAGCTGAAAAGTCAGCTGTTTGAACCTGCCAGATTTACAGCCTTGGAAACCCTATGAAACAGTAGGTTTGCTGTGAGTTGATTCCAACTCAGTGAGTTTAGGTTTGGCTTGGGTTGAGCTTTCCCTGTCCTCAGCCTTCTGGGTGTGTTCTGCCTCCCTCCTGCTTTCTTGAGGCAGAGTGAAGTTGTCACCATGGTCCTACCTGACTGAATGCCTGCCTAAGATGAGCAACTCTGCATGCTGACTGCATGCTTCGAAATTACATCAAATACCTCAAGATATTTTTGAGGCATGTTGCTAACAGACTACTTTCGTTTAAAGGATTAGTAACGCAATTTTAACTGGCCATTTAGATCCACATAAAAAATTAGAAACAACTTTGTTATTGTTGTTAAGTGCTATCAAAGTCAGTTCCAACTCATAGAGACCCCTTTACAGGGTTTCTAAGGAGCAGCTGGTGAATTTCCCAACCTTTTGGTTCAAACCTACTTTGCAGTCCAGTATATTAACCCTTAACCCACAGTGCCACACCAGGAACAACTTTGTCATTGTTGTTGTTGAAGTGCCGTCGAGTCAATTCCAACCCATAGTGTCCCTGTATAGGGTTTTTGAGGAGCAGTTGGTGAGTTTGAACCACCAATCTTGCAGTTCAAACCGGCTTTGCAGTCTGGTGCATTAACCCATAGTGCCACACCAGGACTCCAGGAACAATGTTAGAATGTTTTAAATTCTAGCACCAAGGCTATGTGGTTGGTTGACATCTGTTGTGCACCTCCCTCCCTTGTAGGAGATGCTTGTGCATTTCCTCGTTTTATGCCTCCTTACTGACTCCATTGAGTCCTAGTGTGGTGTGGTATGTTTCAAGCTCACCGGCTGCTCCTCGGAAACCCTATACAGGGTCGCTATGGGTCGGGATCGACTTGACAGCACTTAACAACAACAACTGGCTCCATTACAGCCAAATGTCAATTTCTCATGTGTTCGTAACCAAACATTTCAGTGAATGGAAGTGAGTATGTAAATGGAAATTTTAGTTTAAATTCCGTTTTGTGGACCTGACACATTCCCACAGTATGTATGTATGTATGTGTGTATGTATGTATTTATTTTTGCCTTATTTTGGTTTATATTCATATTCTATACCTATGAAAATGTGTCTCCATGCTAATGATAAAAATTCAGATTGTAGAACTCTTCACAAGACCTTTTCATACACAATATTGACAAGACCCTCAAAGCAAAAGAAGCAGATGTTACTGTCTTTTGACTCAGAGCAGTTATGCCCAACTGCTACAAGGAATCTTCCTGGCGCAGTGAGTTAAGTATTCGGCTGCTAGTAGAAAAGTCAGTGGTTCAAAGCCACCAGCAACTCCACAGGAGAATGCTGTGGCAGTCTGTTTATGTGGGACAGTTGTCCTCTGTCCTGGACGGTCACTGTGAGTCTGAATCAACTCGTTGGCAGTGGTGTATGCTATAGGAAGTGGTGCAGGAGAGTGCTGATGTCACATCTGACTCGAGATCCTGGCTCTTTGCAATTCATCCTTCTTCCTCCCAAGGCACAGACTCTATTTTAAAAGAATGTGACAATCTACACACTACTATTCAAATGCAAGCAGTTAGACTCATCAGTTCATTAATATTTAAAAGTATTTGTCAAGATTTTCCTACAGATATTTCCCTTTTAGAGCAGTGTGTTTAGAAAATAGCGTTCAACAAGCCAGACAGAAATCTAAAATAGGAATTGCACTGTCTGCCAGTGGAAAACAGAAATGTTGTCAGTAACCCAGGGACATATGAAGGAAAATATTTCCACTTGCTAGCTCAGCTGTTATTTAGGCATTGAAAGGCTATAAAAATGCTTAGCTTTCTTCTGTTGCTAACTAGAAACTACCACAGCCATCAACATCTGTCTCATTTTGAACCCTATGTAGGGCTTCTGAGAATGCAGATCTTTATAGGATGCTTATCTCCGGTGGTGTGATTGGTGGATTTGAACCTACAACCTTGTGGTTAGCAGCCCAGTGCTTATCCTGCAGTGCAAGTGGGTAGTTTGGGGCTTAACTAGAAAATAATAGCATTTCCCTAGGCAGAAGTTTGCTTACCTAGACATAAATTCTACAGATACCATAGCCCTAACTTGATGTCAGAACTCAGCTTGAATTAAATGCTGAAGAGTAATGCTTTCTACAGTTATGAAAATGTCCTAATTTTGATCTCCTATGATAGTATGATAATGCTTTTCCTCTGGTTTATATTTTAGTGTTTAAATGGGTGAGAAGAACATTAATTGCTCTTGTTCAGGTCACTTTTGGAAGAACCATCAACAAGTGAGTATCACAAAATTAATATATGAATTTATGCCTCACTCTTTGTCTTTATACTCAAATGACTTCATGGTTTGTTAGCCAGAAATCACTCTAGGTGAAGGGATTTTACTTTTTCTTACTTTAATTTCTGACATGATTCTGAGATTGAGTAGGGAAACCTATTTCTGGGAGAATTTCTTCTATGAGTGCATGGTGAACTCGATGGTGAAAACCAGAGCTAGATCCAGCACTCTGGCCACCCGCAGGCACAAGGCTCTGTTTTGTGAAGTTCTTCGGCTCACAATGACTGGTTTGAGTATCTTGCCTGTAGTGCTTTCATGACACATTATGGGAAGAGGGAATGTGACCAATCAGAGATATAGACTCTATGTCAAGATGAAAGGGAGATGAAGATCATATGCCAGGCATTAATTTGAAGGAGAATACAAACCTTACATTTTTTTAAGAGTTGGGTAGCATTAAAATGATAATTCCTCTTATTAATATTTGAGAATCCATCAGGGTTCTCTTTTCATTCATATGCCATTATTATGAATATGTATATTTTGATGTATATATACATTATCCACTTGCATAAACTATATATTATATATATGCATACTCATGTCTCATAGAGTATTCTAGTGTTGTTTATAGAAAAATGAACCACATTTCCATCATTCATTTATGTAAGACCAGTAGATCTGTTACTGAGAATGCATTGAGAATGTTTTCTAGCAAATTACTGAAAGTTTTCATAAGCAAAGTCATACAACTGGTAGAAGCCAAATAGAATTATTTACATAGAGAGTTGGGTGGCAATGGTGGCTCAGTGGTAGAGTTCTCTGGGTTCAATTCCCAGGAGTGCAACTCAGGGACATGCACCACCACCACCCGTCTGTCAGTGGAGTCTTGTGGATTGCTGTGATGCTGAGCAGTTTCAGTGGAGCTTTCAGACTGAGATGGACTAAGAAGAAAGGCCCAGGGCCCCACGTATGTGTGCCTAATCTCAGTGGGTCTGCCAAAAACCACCTGAGCGCCAGCCTTAGTGTGTTCCCCGTCCTTCCCCCGCGCGGCCCCATTTCTGCTCCAACAAGATGAGAGAAACAATCATGGGTCAGGAAAAACTTGCCAAACTGCAGGCACACTTGACCTCTTTAGTTGTCAGTGTCTTCACTTGCAAAATGAGGAGATGAGCTAATCTCTACAATCAGTGACTGACTTTTGTAAGCGGATCATCGGGCCTTTTCCTTTTTAACTAAGCAAAGAATTTTATTAACATTTGTCTCAAATTTATTCCCAGGCTTCTTCAGCATAACTGGCTGCAAAGAATGACTTATGTATAAGCAAAAACTGAAAAGAGCTGCAAAGAGCTTGGGCTTAAAAATATTAGAGATCTAGATCTTATCAGATCCATAAACAACACAAGTTGAAAAAGCAGTCATAAGATAAAACAGCAGCTCCAAGTAACTTCTTCAAGTTTTATCTTCTTCAGAAGTGAACTCTATGAGTTAGCCTCAGTCTTGGATGCCTCATCAAAAATTTCCACAAGATCTGGGACTTCACTTCATCATCATCATCCTGTGTAGTAGCGAGTGGTGCTTTTCCATCGACAGATTGTTTGGGCAGAGCTTCAGCCAGTCTTCTTATACTAGTCAGACTGTCTGCGCCAAGCTGGTTTCAGATGCTGGGGAACATCTCTGTCAGCTGCTTCATCTCAGCATGGCTGGTAATAGTGAAAGTGTTCACTGCCAGAGATGCAGGAAGAAATAGATGTTTTAAACAGAAAGAAGAAGGTGGTTCATAGAACAGCCACAGCAGATAATAAAAAATTTCAGTTCTCCTGAAAGAAATTGGGGGTAAATAATATCTCTGGTATAGAAGAGGTGAATATGTTCACAAACCAAGGTACAGTGATCCACTTTAACACTCCTAAAGTCTTGCACCTCTGAGAGGATGATGATGATGAAGTCCCATATCTTGTGGAAATTTTTGATGAGGCATCCAAGACTGAGGCTAGCTCATAGAGTTCACTTCTGAAGAAGATAAAACTTGAAGAAGTTACTTGGAGCTGCTGTTTTATCTTATGCATGCTTTTTCAACTTGTGTTGTTTACGGATCTGATAAGATCTAGATCTCTAATATTTTTAAGCCCAAGCTCTTTGGACATTGCAGCTCTTTTCAGTTTTTGCTTATACATAAGTCATTCTTTGCAGCCAGTTATGCTGAAGAAGCCTGGGAATAAATCTGAGACAAATGTTAATAAAATTCTTTGCTTAGTTAAAAAGGAAAAGGCCCGATGATCCGCTTACAAAAGTCAGTCACTGATTGTAGAGATTAGCCCATCTCCTCATTTTGCAAGTGAAGACACTGACAACTAAAGAGGTCAAGTGGCTTACCTAAAGTTACAGGAGGGACTGGTCAGTAAAAGAAGGAACCAGGATTCCAACCCCGCCCTTTGCCATGGTGCCTACGTTTCTCAGTCATGTCTTTTATTGTCTTTGCAGCTGAAATTTGGAACTCCTGTTATCAAGGTCTTTTAAACAATAACTCAATACTCAACAATCCTCAAGAGATAAATATTATGACTTTGAGTCAGTGCTAGAAACACAAGTCACTTGGGAATGAAATTACCAGATTTTTCCAAGTTAAAGAAAGATTAATTCAGTCATGAAATGTGTATATAAGGTTAATTTGATCATTTAAGAGCTCACAGAGCCTATAAATTTAGTAAAGCACATTTGTTATTTGTAATGATTTTTCAAATAGATTTTCCTTGTCATTATAAACAAATGTTTACTTCAGTTTTGTTTCTACAGTTTAAAATTTTCCTTTAGTGTCTCCCCTCAGAGGCTTATTGAGTGCTCTAATGTCACACTTTTGTTTCCTTTAGAAAGATGGCCTGTTTAGCTTATTGTTCAGTGTAAGGCAACCTTCTTACCTTAGGTATTGACACATCTTGAATAAAGAAATTTCCAAAATGGCTTTACTCAGTCATTTTCCCTTTTATTTTAGCAGCTCATGCAAACTTTCCTTTCTCATACTTAAGATACTGACTTTTAATTATTAAGCAAGTGGCTGTAGTTTATACGTGGCTAATTCATTTGACAGTTACTTTCATGGGGCTAGAAGAGAGGCTTTGTGTAGAGAATTTTCAAGCTGTTTATTTCAGTGGGTCTTTAATCAGGTGGAGAATTATGGAGCACCTGGCCCTTTGCTATTTTTGCCTTTAGCAGATGATGACACATCATAAAATTAAGCAGCAGTACAGTGTATGCCTCCTGCCTTGTATCCACTGTAATTTCACATGCCAGAATTGCTTCAAAAGCTTTCCTGCAGGTTTTGGGTAATAGAAAATCAGATCTAAACTGTTAGAAAATACTTAGGTGATAGTCTTTGGTAAAAGTCTCTTACCTAATTTTAAGTTATAAATGGAAAATGTTTTTATTTCTTCATGCGATTAACTCAAAGCAACACTATAGAACAGAAGCAAACTGCTGACATATTTCTGTACATTTTTCTTATCAAGGCAGACAAGCAGTCTGTCTCTCAAAGCAGTAGTTAGTATTTAATTTTTTCTGTATGTGAACTGCACGGTTCAAAGCAATATAGGGAACTCTCTTAGGAAACATGGAGTTACAAACAAAATTAACGTTAAGGCTTTGACTCAGTAGAGTTTAGACATTGATTCAATAGTGTCTGATTACAGCATATTCTGCTTGAAATCTATTTCAGATGCCATTTTGGAAAATTATACATGGTCTGTTTAGTTGGCAAGTCAGATTCTTACAGGACTTTTTGTTTAATTGCTGTGCCTGGAACAAGATGGGCATTTAGGGTCTTTTTGATACTAGTGGTCTAAAATGATTCTTTTTCCTTTTCAACAGAGACTTCCTCCTCACAACCACACAACTACTCTTGGGCTCCTTGAAATGTGCTTTCTTAACTCCTGACTAATGATTAATGAAATAGGGTTGTGTGAAAGCCCTGGGTAGCCAGATAAAAGCCCATTTACATGTAACTGAAAGTCAAGTGTCTGCCCAGTTTGTTATTCCCTTGGAAATTTGAAATGAACTAGATTAGCAATCATTGTATCTTTTCAAAATCCTTCACTTTGTGATAAATGAAAGGGAGTATTTTTTTTTTTCCCTTGCCTCATGAGCATATGAAATGGTCCCTTGGGTCATTTTAGTTTGGTGTTACCAGCCGTAGCAAAACCAAGACAGCTGGTAGAAAGGCTTGCATGTCCTCCAGGATATTATGAGTTCAGAAGAGGTGTTTCAGACTACCTTTGCTGTTGTTTTCAGGTGCTGTTGAGAGCTGTGACTCATAGTGATCCCCATGTACAACAGAACAAAACATTGCCTGGTCCTGCACCATTCTTCAACAATGGTGTGCTTGAGCACATTGTTGCTATAACTGTGTCAATCCGTCTTGTTGGGGTTCGCCCTCTTTTTCGCTGATAATTTGTTATTGATTATTTGGACCTTTTTTTGCAGGTTTTGAATCGTTTCCAGTGCTGTACCTATCTTATTTGATTGTTTCTGTAGTGCTTTCCTGAGTTCTTCCTTATTTTTCTCAAACCCTCTGTAGAGAGTTTGGATGCACTTCAGTATCATTCTCCTGAATTCCTACTCAGGCAGTTCCAGGGCCTGCCTTCCTTCCAGTGGAAAGTCTAGGTCCACCTCCAGCTCATTTGTGTTAGTTACTCTATCCTATTTCTGGACATGTGCCAAATGGTCAGTTGTTTCTTGGGCATCTTCAGTAATTAGGTTTTCAATAATTAAGTGAATGTATGTTGTTTTATTGAGCTTTCTGATTGCCTTCAGGTAGATGTGATTAGGAGATGGGCTTCCCTTTTCACTCTTATTACTCATCTCAGAGTAACTGTAGTAGGTATTGGCTGTCTGTCTGGTGTATAGCACCATTGGCTCTTGCCTGAATGGTGGGATTTTACAGGATGTGATTGCAGCTTGGCTATATGACCACAATTGCTGTTTCTTCTTAGATAACATAGTGTGAGAAAGAGCCCCCTGAAGTAAAAGGGGGAAAGAAAAACAAAACAGCAACAGCAAAAAAAAACCCCAACAAACAAAAACAAAAGATTTGGTACTACAGTCTATAATTGCATAAAAGAAGAGAAGGAACATTTTTAAAAATCTGTAGCAAGATAAATACGAGTATGTGTTTAACCCCTTTCTCAGCCAGCTCGGGCCGTTCTAGGAGACTTTTCATTTTAAGCAGTTCCTGGTGACTCCTCCTACTTCTGCAATTCTGGGCCCAGAAATCTTTGCTGAGCAGATCCATGTGCGTGTATACTAGAACCCTCCAGGGGCTGGGGGAGTAGCCACTCGCTCAGGCACTCCCTCTAGTCACCAGAGTGGAAGGTGTGAGAGACCAATGAACAGAGAAAGGGGGGGGAGGGGGGAAGAATGTCCACATCTTTATCTCCAAGGATCTGCAGAAGTCTGTGGTCTGAGCACTTCTCTGGCCCTTCACCCACTCCATCATACCCAAATGGCGGCTCTGGGAGTTGGCTGGCTGCTACAGATCAGAAAACAGTGGTGTTTTGGGTTGTTTTTTTTTTTGCTTCTGCTACAAATTCTACTGGCTGTAAGCCTTCAAACTTTCTAAATATTCCTTTATATGTAATTCAGAGTTCTGGGACCGTCCAGTATTCTGTGTTATAGCTCTGTACTGCACGTCTCCCTAATGATTTCTTGACTGCTGCTTTCATGAGCATTGATTGTGGATCCAACTAAAATGAAATCTTTTCTCCGTTTATCATGATGATGTTCATTGGTCCAATTATGAGGATTTTTGTTTTCTTTACATTGAGGTACAATCCATATTGAGGCTGTAGTCACTGATCTTCATCAGTAAGTGCTTCAAATCCTCTTTGCTTCCAGCCAGTAAAGTTGTATCATTTACATATTGATGGCTCATTCTACTTCACATAATCCAGTTTCTTAGATGATTTTTTCAGCATATAGACTGAATAAATATGGTGATATGATAAACACTTTTCCAGATTTTAAGCCATTCACCTTCCCGTTGTTTTATTTATACGACTGCCTCTTGGTCCATGCACAGGTTCTACCTGAGCACGGTTAAGTGTTCAGGATTTCTCTCTCTTCACAATGTTATTCATAATTTGTTATGATCTACACAGTCGAATGCCTTGGTATAGTCAATAAAACACAAGTAAACATCTTTCTTGATACTCTCTGCTTTCAGCCAAGATCCATTAACATCAGTAATGACAACCCTCATTCTATATTGTCTTCTGAATCTGGCTTGAATCCATGTCAATATACTGCTGCAACCATTGTTTAAATTACTGTCAGCAAAATTTACTTGCATGTGATATTAATGATATTGTTAGATAATTTGCACATTCTGCTGAATCACCTTTCTTTGGACCAGGCACAACTATGGATCTTTTCCAGTCTATTGGCCAGGTTGCTATCTTTCAGAATTTTTGGCACAGACTCATGAGTGCCTACATCGAATGCTGCATCAGTTTATTGAAAAGTTCCCATTGGTATTCCATCAGTTCCTGGCACTTTTTTTTGTTTGTTTTTTTACCATGCCTTCAGTGCAACTTGGACTTCTTTTAGTACCATCAGTTCATGTTTGTATGCTACCTCGGCAAATGCTTGAATGTTGACCGATTATTTTTGGTATAGAAATTTTGTGAATTTCTTCCATCTTCTTTTGATGCTTCTTGCATAGTTCAATATTTGGATCATTGTTGACTCACAGTGACCCTATATAAAGTTTCTTGGGAGCAACTGATAGGTTTGAACCACCAACCTTGTGATTATGATTAGAAGTTCAGTGCCTGTCTTACACAGCACCACATCAGGACCCCATATTGACCATTATTAAGTGTTGTCAAGTCAGTTCTGACTTATATCAACCCTATATAGGATTTCCGAGGAGTGGCTGGTGGGTTTGAACTGTTGACCTCACCATTAGCAGTCCAATGTTTATTCTATAGTGCCACATCAGGAGTCCCTATTTTGAGTATATAATCCTTCAATATTGCAAGTCGAGGCTTGAATTTTTCTTCAGTTCTTTCAGCTTGATAAATACTAAGCATATTTTTTCCTTTTGGTTTTCTTACTCTAGGTCTTTGCATATTTCATTATAATACTTGACTTTGATTGTTGGAGCTGTACTTTGAAATTTTCTGTTTAGCTCTTTTATTTAATCATTTCTTCCATTTCCTATTCTGTGTTCAAAACAAACTTCAGTCTCTTCTGACATCCACTTTGGTTTTTTCTTTCTGTCTGTCTTTTTAATTACCAAAATTTTGCTTTCTTTGAGTATGCTATTTTTTAGGTCAGATATGTGCAATGAAAAAGTCATTGGTCTTACAAAATTTTACCCTGCAATCTCCAGCTTCATTTCTGTCACCAAGGACAATTTTCTAATTACTAATCCTTCCACTTTGTTTCCAACTTTCACATTCCAATCACCAGTATTTACCAATGCCTCTTGATTGCATATTTGATTGATTTTAGACTTAAGTTAGAATTCTTCATTTTCTTCATTCTTTACTTTGGTGGTTAATAGGTTAACTAGTCTCCTTTGTAGGTGTATAGATCATATCCTACCAGAGACAGCATTGTACTTCAAGGTAGATCTTAAGGTGTTCTTTTTGACAATGAATAAGAGACAATTCCTCATGAATTCATCATTTCTGGCATACCATTTGGTTGTCTGATTCAAAATGTCAAATACCTGCCCATTTCAACTCACTAATGCCTAGGATATATATCTTTATGTATTCCATTTCAGTTTTGACTACTTCCAATTTTCTAAGATTATAACATTTATAATTTATAATTCCATGTATGAATTATTAATGGAAATTTGCAGCTGCTGCTTCTCATTTTGAGTGGCGCCCCATCAGCAAATGAAGATCCCAGAAGCTTTGCTTCATCTGTGTCATTTTAAGTCAACTCTACTTTGAGGAGGCAGTTTTTCCCCGGTCATGTTTTGAGAGCCGTCCAATCTGAGTGACTCATCTTCCAATGTTTCGCTGCTATTCATAAGGCTCTCAGGCTAATACCTTAGAAATGGATTGTCTATTCCTTCTTACTAGCCTGTTCTTAGTCTGAAAACGCCGCTGAAACCTGTCCACCATGGATGACACTGTTGGTATATGAAACACCAGTGGCCTAGCTTCCAGCATCACAGCCACATGCAAGTCACCACAGTACGACAAACTGACAGACGTGTGGGAGATCAGCTTTAATTGTCATTGAGTAGGTTTATGTTTTCCTTATATACTATTTCCTGGAGAAGTAAAGGTATTGAGTATTGTGTACAGTGAGCATGGTTGGCAAGCTTCAAACAAATCAGTCTCCTCTCAGGTCCTGTATTTAAAACTGAAAAGTATTGCAGTCAAGTACTTACAGAAGTTGTTGACAATGAAAACGTGAGTCCAGGAATCAATAGTCATGTAGTAATATCAAAATAAAAAATAACTTTCAGAACCAAAGTTAAATCTAATTCCTAGTTTATTCATCAAACATTTAGATTAGGCTGCATCTTAACCTACCTCCATTGATAAACGCCTTCTGAAGATAGAATATAAACATTTTTTAAAAACATCATCCAAGAAATATTTTTTCTCTTAAAAGACAAATCCGGGACACAGTGAACTGGATTTTCAGTGAACAAATGTTGGTTTACTACATCAATGTTTTCCGGGATTCTTTTTGGCCAAATGGAAAATTGGCACCACCGACGACAATCAGAAGCGAGGAGCAAAGTCAGGAAACAAAGCAGAGAGCTCGGCAAAAGCTACTTGAGAACATTCCAGGTGAGGTCTGGGATGCCATCCTGAAAAGTACAGAGCTATAAAGGCAATATCAGTCCTATTAAGGCATTGTTGTGGTATGGTGCTCTGGGTTAATGTGCTGGACTTCAAAGTCAGTTTGAGCCACAAGATCAGCAGTTCAAGCTCACCAACAGCTCCTTGGAAACCCTATACAGGGTTGCTATGGGTCAGAACTGACTCAATGGCACTTAACAATAACAACACACACGCACACACACACATACACACATATATATAAAGATTTACAGCTTCGGAAACCCTGTGCAGGGTCACTATGAGTCAGAACCGACTCCATGACACATAACTCCACCACCATATATATATATGTATATATATAGAGAGAGAGAGAAAGAGAGACAGAGAGAGAGACAGAGAGAGAGACTGACTGACTCCTGGTGCTACAGGATCAGCACTGGACTGTGAACTACAAGGTCATCAGTTCAAACCCACCATCTGCTCCTCAGAAACCCTATACAGGATCACTATGAGTCCGAGTTAACTCAGTCTCACTTAACAACAACAACATATATATCTTAGGAAAACATCATTTACCATGAAAACTTCACATTTTTTTTGGTGCCCATTTCATGACCCTTAGTAGAAATTATACTAAGAATCTTAATAAGAGCAGTATTCGTTAGAATACTTCCTTTTATGTAGAAAAATGTTTTAGAACAAGTAACAAATTTGTACTTTAGAAATCCTGCTAAAGTACACTTTTTGAGAGCTTAATTTTTTGATTGGGCTGTTGTTGTTAAGAACTATTGAGTCAGTTCTGACTCATAGTCAGAAACCCTGTGTTATGGTTTCCCAGGAGTGGCTGGTGGATTTGAACCACTGACTTGGTCCGGTTCTTATCCTAGAGAGTCACACCAGGACTCCTTAATGTGGTTGTTGTTGTTAAGTGCCGTTGACTGGATTCTGACCCATAGCGAACCTATATAGGGTTTCCAAAGAACAGCTGGTGAGCTTGAACCACCAACTTTGCAGTTCAAGCAACTTTGCAGTCTGATGCATTAGTCCACAGCACCACACCAGGACTCCCCTTAATGTGGTAACAGTATATTAAAATTTTCGTTTGTATAAAACCTTTATGTTGAAAATTTGAAATACATTTATTTTCTCTTTATGCATTCACTTGTCTCATGCCTCAGTGCCATTACTGTCTTGTGTACATACATGTGGTATCTTTTTCATGGAATGCCTATGTATGCATTGCATTGTGCACTGTGACAATAGCAGCATAGAATATAAATTTAATTTCATTAAATTTTTAAATTCAGATATGCTTCAGAGCCTTGTTGGACAGCAAAATGCCCGCAATGGTATAATAAAAATATTCAATGCACTGCAAGAAACCAGAGCCAATAAACATCTGTTATATGTAAGTAGATCAATGCCTACCAGCAGATTAATCATACCTTGGTTTTCACATACATTTCTGTTCACATCTTGGGGTAGATTTAACCATTCCTGTTACTTATAACCCAGAACCTATTTGTGTTTTTTTGTGTTTTGGCTTGCTTGGTTAAAAAAAAAGTTCCCCAATGGATGCTGTATTCTCATTCCCTCATACTAGTTGTCTCTCTGGACTTTTGGTACCACATTTCTGCATGGCTGCTTGGTTTTCTGTTTTAGCAAAGCATAATTTCTCAGTTATCTCTGATTATAGCTAACAATAGTAACTACTGTGGATGGTTTGATGTCTGGGACCTGCCTCAGCAGGGAAGTTTGGTTCACAAAGTAGGGAGATCTGGCGGCGAAAGAGATAGAAAAAGAATACACACAAAGACTCGACGAGAGAGACAAAGAGACACCCCGAAACCAGAGTGGATGCAAGACTGGCAGGCAGACCCTGGATTGCAGGCATCATGGTCCTGCAGGCAGTAATGCATGCAGGGTTCCATCTGCGTCCATCTTTTATTTCAGGGAGAGATTTTACACAAAGGAAGAAGGGGATTATTAAGACAGGGTACAGAAATGAAATGTGATTAATTGTTCAGGATACAATGATTTACAGGAACAAATTCTAAAATATACATCACAAATGGTCTTAATAATCTAACATCCTTAATTTTCCAAGAATTCAAGCAAATTGTTATAAATTACTTTTTAGGTTTAAAAACTGAGGCAGCGACTCGAGGTTTCTCAAGGCTAATTAACATACCTATAGCACTTAATCTCGAATGGGAAAAGGTGAAAAGGATTTCAAAAGGTCTGAAGAGAGTCAAGCTGTTTCAGCTACCTGGCTTAGGCTTCAGGAGGAAGGAGGACCTCTAGGTTAATGGGTTACACCTGGGAACGATTTGAGGCAGTTGCCACTATTATTCCTTGAACAATACTCCGGAATTCGCCAATCTACTTTGAGTGAATTCCTTGAGCCTCTTTGCGGAATCTCAGCAAAACTGCCTTTGGAACTTTTACGGCCTTGGCTTTAGAAGAGGTTTTGTTTTAATATTTGTCCGGGGGTATCAAGGGCTCATGTATTAAGTTAATATCAAACATAACTGAATAATTTGATAAAGAACAGTTTGGACATGCTTGCCAGGTGGCCAGAGTTTGCTCCTCAGAGAGATTTGTTCCCAGGACCCTACGCACTGCCAACACAGTGGAGATATTAAGAGAGGCACATAAGAAACCATTTTCTCAGAAGCTACAATTACTGATGTTAGAAGCATAGAATGAATAATAAGACCAAAGAAAATTATACAGAGGTAGCCCACCAGTGAGTTCGAAAAAGCCTATGAACCCGGGACGTCAGGAGGACACTTCCTTGGCCCTCAGGGTCCCTGTGAACCCGGGATGTCAGGAGGTCACTTCCTTTGGCCCTCAGGGTCCCTGGCTAGCCATCCTGAGTGGGGCCATCGTGTAGGATTTTCATCCATGACACGGGGCCTCAGCATCTTAGTGCTTTGCAGTCCCCAACAGTTTGATAAGGTTAACAGATTATTAAAAATAAATCAATCTGGTGTTAAATGGAAGTTTAACATCTGAAATTGATGAGAATTGTTTGAGAGTTACTTGTTCAAGGAGAATCATTTCAGTCGTTAAGTAGGACTTTTGTATGTGGATGTTTGAGTAAACCTTTGGAGAAAAACATTTTTCTGCTTTTTTTATTTCTTCTTCCTGGTTTAGGTGCTGATGGAGCTGCTGCTAATTGAGCTGTGTCCTGAGCTGAGAACTCATTTAGATCAATTGAAAACCGGTCAAGTTTGAGACTGCACAAATAAACCCAGAGAAATGTCTGTGTAATAATAGACATGAAACATTTTCCTCTTTTCCACAGAGGGCCTGACTGAGAACCATATTGACTTCTATTTTAGTTATATCTCCCTCTAATTTTATTGACGTAAGGAAAATTGGGAGAGGGGGCTTAATGCTATAGGGGGCAAAAGAAAAAAAAGAACATTTGTTAAATATTGATTTTTATTTAAATAGTAATATAAATACTTAAAATTGAACATACTGATTGAAATACAGATGTTAATATGTGCTAAGAACCTAGGAATAGGAAATATTTTAAATATTTATGAACAGTTTTGTTTGAAATGAAGAACTATGACTATTGAACAGTTAATTTCCTCACTGAGGATTCTAAACATTCCTGTATTCTTTGCTGTGTATTGAAGAACATTGTTGTGCAATGCTTTGTGTAAAGTTATTGTGAAATTTTTTGTCTTTATTTTTACCAAAGATTTCCCATAGTTTGAATCATTTGAAGCAATAAAATATAAAAATGCATCACAGAGTTCTATGACATTTGTTGTTAACTTGCCATCAAGTCAGCTCTGACTCATGGTGGCCTTATGTACAAGGGGGTTTCATACAGTTCTTAGAAAAATGAAACTGAAAGATGATGGAATTTTCCCACAAATTTTTGAAATCCCCTCATGTAACAGAACTCAATGTTGCCATGCAACGTACCATATTTATGATCATTGGTGTCTGAGCCCATTATCAATACTGTGTAGTGCCTTCCAACTTAGGGAGTTCATTTTCAAGCGCTTTATCAGGGAGCATTCTGTTGTTATGTAGGGTTCTCATCAGCCAATTAAAAAAAAGATTGCCAGACTTTTCTACCTAGTCTTTCTTAGTCTAGGAGCTCTGCTGAAACCTGTCCACCATGGATGGCCCGCCCTGCTGGCATGTTAAATAGTAACAGAATAGTCTCTAGTTTCATAGCAGCACATAAACCACCATAGTATGCCAAACTGAGTGACCGATGATTGAGATGTTTAGATCTCAATAAAGAGGGTGAAACAGTCAAGCAATTCAACTATTTATTGAGTGTAAAGTTGGCTGCCTCTCTAGAAACAATATAAATATGTGGCAAAAAAATTTTTTAATGATATGTAGTGAATGAGAAGAGTCAAGTTAGTACTTGAACATGAGCTGAACCTTGAAGGATGGGCAGGAATGGGATAGGAAAATAGAAGAGGGACTTTTATTATATCATCAGGTCACGTGGAGTGAAGGGGCATTAGGTGAGATCCAAGGTTCAGTTTAGTTTTCTTATTGGTGGAGCTGTGGATACCTCATTTAGTCAGTTTCTCTGGGTTTCACTATGTGTATGCAATGATGATAAAACACCTTTCCCTCTCCAACCTCTAGGAGTCCTTGGTGGTATAAATGGGCACATTCTCACCTACTACCTGAAAGCTTGTACTCTGGAACACATTGGGTGACCATAAATCAAAATCAGTGTAATGTTTTTTGTTTTTTTTTGTTTTTTCATTTTTTTCTCTGACGCTCAGGAATAAAGTGTGTGTTGACGGGGAGGGGACAATTAATAAGCAAACATTCAGTTTGGAATTCATGAAGGAAAAATATGTAGATTAAAAGTGGTATTGATTAAATTGTTGATAGATTATACTTGCCAAGTTCTTGATATGAAACATCAATTCTGAAAGAATTAAAAATTGGCAAACCACATTTTATCTCTGAGGTTCTTCTAGTTGCAGCTCTTGATCTTCTTTGTAACTAGGATATTTGATAAAATATAATGCTGGGTATCTACGTGGATTAGAATTATCCTTCATAGGAACATAGAAAGGAGTATCTAAATTTATTCAGAGGAGAGAAGCAGTGTGAAGTTTGCTAAGCCCAAAAAACTCATAACACAGTGGTGGTAGTGTTAAGTTCCATCAAGTCAGTTCTGACCCATAGCAACACTGTATAGGGCTTCCGAGGCGCTGCTGGCGAGTTTTAACCACTGACAAGATAAGCAGTCCATTGCTTATCTTGTAGTGCCACACCAGGACTTCCATCATAACGTAGTTGCTGGGACTGTCTACATTCTCTATATTTCTATTACATAATTTAAACTGTAGTTCAGTTTGTACTGCAAATAAGACAACTTATTTTTGGTGCCTCATTTTAATTCCTCTAAAAGGAATCATACAAAGGTTTGATTTAAGAAAATTTATGTCATGATTTGGAAACATCCTCATCACTTGAGCTTAAAGACTGATTCTACTCCTGGGGTCATGGTGCAGCCCCCAGTCTATAGTAGTGGGCATCTACAGGGGTTTGCCCAGGTAGCATAGAGGATTACAAGCTGGGCTGCCAGCTGCAAGATCAGCAGTTTGAAGGTACCATTTGTTCTGTGGGAGACAGGTGAGCCTTTTTGCTTCCACAAAAATTTACAGCTTCAGAAACCCTATACAGAGTCAATATTGCTATTAAGTGTCATCGAGTTGGTTCTGACAGCAACCCTGTATAGGGTTTCTGAGGTGGGTTTGAACTGTTAACCTTGTGGTAAGCAGTTCAGTGCTTATCCTACAGCATTCCACCAGAACTCCCTGCTAACTGTAATAAAACTGAATTTAAAGCAAAAAAAAAAAAACACCAAAAAACCCAATTGCTCTTGTGTTGATTCCAATTCATGAGGATCTCATGTTTCGGGGCTGAACTGTGCTCCAAAAGGTTTCACTAGCTGTGATCATTTGGAAGTAACCTGCCAAGCCTTTCTTCTAGGTACCTCTAGGTGAATTTGAACTGTCAGTCTTTCTGTTAGTGGCCTAACACTTAAAACATGTACACCACCCAAGGATTTCTTAAAGATACTTCTTGTTAAGTGCCATCGAGTCGTTTCAATGCATAACAACCCTGTATAGAGTTTTCAAGGAGCAGCTGGTGGATTTGAACCTCTGACCATGTAGTTACCTGCCCAGTGCTTTGTCTGCAGTGCTACATTATCACATATGGCACATGCCTGTGTTTAGGATTTCTCAGATTAATTTTCTTTTCCAGGATAGTTTCAGTTTATACCATTCAAAAGATTTAGGAGAGTATATAAAGAAAAACTGAATTTCAAGAATGCTCACAAATCAGACTTTAAACAAGAATAGGAAATTTTTGCTATCCAATAGTTTTTAGTGACTGATAAGTACATATTACTTCACTACTAAGATAAGAATAGATCTCGCTTAAATTTATTTTGGAAATAATAGTTGTAATTTGTAAAATTAAGACACATTATATTTGTGGAGAAGATGTAGTTAAGGTATTACTGAGGCATCTTTAAGACGTTATCTTCAATATTTTTGTTTCATTGATGCATATCCCTACAAAATCTTCAGCACATGGATCCTACTATTCTTAATGTCAACTTTTGTTTTCATACCTGTCACTAACATAAGGGAAGTAGCTTGCGAATTTTTTTTTTTTTTTTGCCTTATTTAATTATAGAGATTATTGGTAGATTACTTCATTGACACATTTCATGTTTTATTTTGAACTACATTTAGGGTTTTAAAATGTAAAAATAGGTTGAAACACAAACATCTTTTCAAATTATCATTAATGATCAGAAATACAGCAATTATTTACTCATTAAATTAATGTCTTTGAGGGAAGGTATGGGACAACATTCAAACATAAATAGGCTTATTTTAGTCATTTAAAAAATTTTAAATTTAAAATTCACAAAACAAAAGAGGCAAAGAAATTGAAAGAAACTTTAAAATGATACTTCATGAGTCTCTAGCATTTATATTTCTGAAGTTACTAAAGCTAAAAGCCTTTTGCGATAGATACTCCGTATTAAGAAAAGAAAAAGATACTTGCTCAATATTGCATGTGGTCTACACCAGTCACTAGGCTAAAAGATGGATCTTTGAGGATTCTTTTAGCAATTTGACCCTGTGACTAGGTTTCAAGATGTAAAAATACAGCATAAAGATTCAAGAATATGTCATCAGTAAAATGCCCAGGATAATGTAATTGCAGATGCAGAAAATAACCGAACTCAGCTGCTATGAAAACACACATTTTATGGTGTTAGGATTGTTGATCATTGTGGAAATGCACTGTGTTCTAAATTCTTTGACGAATAAGTAAAGAGTGAAGTTCATCTGCCAATGCAGGATTCAGCCGACAAGCCTTAAAGCCAAAGAGAAAAGATTGAGTTACTCAGATATATTCTAAAATGTTGGTTTCCTTTTGATTTTCTTAAAGTATAAAGAATTTCAAGGGAAATAAGATCTTAAGATACATTTCTGTTTTCTTAGGAAAAAATAAGGGAAATTTAAATTTGGCCTACGCAAAATTATCATGTCACCATTAGAAGGAAATAAAGTTTCATCTACTCCCAGAATAAAAAGAATTCATTTACATAGCATTTTATGCTGTGAATTATTAATAAGTAAAATGGAAAGCATTAACATTTGGCTTGAAACTTGTTTTGATTATATGGATAGCAGCATCTACAATCTTGTTTATATGATAAAGTTCATTTTTATTATGACTAAATATTGATTAGATGCATAATTTCTTAAAGTCTCTAGATTTTGGAAGAAACACTAAAAGTCAGCTGTTCAGATCCCACACATACAGAAATTGTCCCTTCAGTAACATGACAGTTGATCACTAGGTATCTGCTAGGTTGAAAATCTCCACCTGACATGGAAAACCATTTTGCCGCCTGCACAGTTGCATTAGAAGACTGATTTTTTTTTTTTTTTCCTTAAGCAGAAGTTTTCTTTCATGTACTTGAGAAATGTTAAAGAGTCGTAAGCGAACATACAGTGCTAGTCACATAGAAACCCTAATAGTGGCAGGGCTGAGACCAAGCCTCAGTCTCCTGACTTTACATCCAGTGTCTGTCTACCATCTTACTGCTTCTTATCTCTAACACACTGCCATTGGCTCTAATTTTGCTCCCACCCCAGCAATCCTTTTTCTATAGGACAGTCTTTCACTCTAGTGAAAACTCTGATCAGAACCCCTTGTGTCTTTTTTCTTTGAATAAACCAGTCTCAGTTTGTCCTGTCATGCATGCCTCATGTGGCATGAATTCCAGACCCCTCACTGGTTTACCACCTCTACATTGTCTTTGTTTTATCACTATCTCATAAGATGGCCAAAATTGAGTAGAGTATTCCAGATGTGTTCTCATTTCTGCAGAGTAATATGGAACAATAATGCTAAAGTTGCACTCTGTTTTGCTGCTTTATTCAGTTGAACATACACCACGTTGAAGAATATTTTTATGACCCAGAGTCTTCCAAATCTGAAATTGGTTTAGAAATTGGCATAATATTGAATATTTAGGTTACTATCCATACTGATAAGGAGCTCTGGTAGCATAGTGGTTACGAATCGGGCTGCGAACTGCAAGGTCAGCAGTTTGAAACTACCAGCTGTTCCGCGGGAGAAAGATGAGGCAGTCTACTCCCGTAAAGATTTACAGCCTCGGAAACCCTGTACAGGGTTGCTATGAGTCAGAACCAACTCCTCGGCACACAGCCACCATCACCATTCATACTGATAGAATGAGTTAATGATAAATACTTCAAGGTCATTTACATTTGATTATATACTGTGACCCTGTATTAATGTGTTAATATTTTGGAACAGACATCATATGGATATGATCCTCTGGAAATTTTAATTTCAGATAAAGCTACATTAATTTAGTGGTTCCTAAACTTCCCTGCTTACCAGCTGCTCCTTGGAAACCATATACAGGGTCGCTATGGGTCAGAATCGACTTGAAGGCACGGCACTTAACAATAACAACAAACTTGCCTGTGGAGTCCTGGTGTGGCGCTGTGGGCTAATGCATTGGACTCCAAAATCATTTGAACTGCAAGGTTGGTTCAAGCTTACCAGCCGCTCCTTAGAAACCCTATACAAGGTCGCTTTGGGTCAGAATCAACTCGATAGCGCTTAACAACAACGAACTTGCCTGCACATTGGAACCCCCTGGGGAAACTTCAACAAGCACTCTTGTATCCATAATTTTGAATTAAAGCCTGGACTTTGGAGATTTTATGAGATCCCCTGGTGATTTTACCATGCAGACACATTTGGGGATCAAATTCAGACAAGTGACTTAGAAAATTGTTTCTAATGTTGTTCCTCTATTGAAGCTGAACAGTTCGTGTTTTACAGAATTTCTACCATGTGAAGCTGCGGGTTAATGTGCTGGACTGCAGGATCAGTTTGAACCGCAAGGTTGGCACTTCAAGCTCACCAGCTGCTCCATGGAAACCCTATGCAGGGTCCCTGTGAGTCAGAACTGACTTGACGGCACTTAACAACAAAACTTATTTGGACTTTATCGATGCTAGGTACTAAGTCAAGCAGGTTTTTGTTGTTTTTAATTTACTATTTTAAGTTACTATTCCTAATGATTTACTCTCCTTCTCTCCACCTACAAACCTGTTTACTTCATACATAAAATCTATTTGGGATCTAAATAAACTGACTATATGGATTAAAACATGAAAAGACATATTTTAACTGATTACCATAAGCTCATTAGCAGCCACTAGTGTGGTAGATGCCATGATTGAAAAACTCTTTTGAAAACCACGTTTCATTCAGGAACTAGAATGAGCATACAGCTTCACACTTTTTCTGGGTGACAGGAAATGTAAGCATTTAGCTTTAAAGTCTTGACAATGAGCCTTTTGGCTGATGATAGTACCAAAGTGAAAGAGAATAATTTGCTTCAAAATAGGACTTTTTAATGTCTAAATTATGCTAATAAGAATCTGACAGAATTGCTGCAAGCCTGATAACCTCTCCTTAGACAGAGGTTATCTGCACAGCAATTCAGTAGGGAAAACATGAATCCATAATAATGTTCAAGTGGCATTTAAAGTCCAGGAGGTTCTATTTGGGTCACTATTTTAAAGCTTACTTTAGAAAAATAGTGTTTCGCTTTTGCTTCATCCTTGGTGATACCTAAACCCAGCTGCAGACATCGTGCCTGGTAGAAAGATGCCATGGCCATGCCTCTGGAGATGAATTCTGGGAGACAATCCGTGACCTTAGCTATCATGGGGATGTCATGGACCTCATCATAATCAGCAATCCTGGTGGGATGTGAAATTGAAATGATACAGAATATCAATTATCTACTTTGTACAAATGACAGGTCCCAAAATTGAGCAAATAAATGCATAAAAGTACATGGAGACTTAAGGGATCAGAGAAAAGAAGATACTCCATATAGTTTATATTAGTGCCCAGGTTTTTTACCATTCCAATTTTACATTCCATATCAAGCTACATTCAATTGCAATGATAGGATCTGTGTATGGAGAGGGTAAGAAGAAACGAAAAGGTTAATGAACATTTTTGATGTGTTAATTTACATTGTTTTTATAACCCTGTAGTAGACATATTTTCTTCTTACAAGTAAAGCAACTGATGCTCAAAACAGTTTAAAAAAATGGCTGATGTACAAAGCTAAAAGCACTGAAATCCTAATGGCATGTACCAAAATGAAATGGTCGGTGTTCAACTATTTCAAGAGGTAGCATATGACCAAGAGCCAGTGATACTGAAGGAAGAAGGGCAACGTGCATAGATGGCATTGGCAAAGAACAAGGCACCAGTGACTGATGGAATATAAATTGAAATCTTTCAACAAATTCATGCATCACTGGAGGCACTCACTCATCTATGCCAAGACATTTGGAAGGCAACTATCTGGCCAACTGGCTGGAAGATATACTTACTTGTTCCCATTCCAAAGAGAGGAAACCCAACGGAATGCAGAAATCATTCGACAATAATGTTGATATCTCATGTGAGTAAAGTTTTACTAAAGATAATACAAAAATGACTGCAAACATACATTGACAGAGAATTTCCAGAGGTTCAGGTGGTTTCAGAAGAGGACATGGAACAAGGGATATCATTGAGGACATTAGATGGATCTTGGCTGAAAACAGAGAATACCAGAAAGATGTTTACCTGTGCTTTATTGACTATGCAAAGGCTTTCCATTGTGTGGATCATGACAATCTATAGACAAATTGCGAAATATGAGTATTCCAGAACACTTAATTGCACTTATGAGGAATGTGTACATAGACCAAGAGGCAGTTGTTTGAACAGGACAAGGGAACACCGAATGGTTTAAAATTAGGAAAGGTGTGTGTCACAGTTGTATTCTTTCATCAAACTTATTCTTTCTGTATGCTGAGCAAATAATTCAAGAAGCTGGATTATATGAAGAAAAATGTGGCATTAGGACTGGAGTAAGATTCATTAACAACCTGTGATATGCAGATGATACAACTTCGCTTGCTGAAAGTGAAGAGGACTTAAAATACTGATGAAGATCAAAAACCAGTCTTTGGTATGGGTTGCATCTCATTGGAAAGAAAACAAAAATCCTCACAACTCGACAATAAACAGCATCCATATAAATAGAGAAAAGATTGAAATTGTCAAACACTTCATTTTGCTTGGGTCAATCGTCAACATTCATGGAAGCAGCAGCCGAGAAATCAAATGACATATTGCATTAGACACATCTGCTACACTAGACCTTTTTAAAGTGTTGAAGAACCAAGATGTCAGTTTCAGGACTAAGATGCACCTGACTCAAGCCATGGTATTTTCAATAGCCCCGTATGTGTGTCAAAGTTGGACAGTGAATAGGAAGACCACAGAAGAATTATGTATTTGAGTTATGGTGTTGAAAGAGAATATTAAAAGTACCATGGACTGCACAAAAAATAAGCCAATCTGTATTGGAAGAAGTGCAGCCAGAGTGCTGCTTGGAGGCCAGGATGGCCAAACTTCGTCTCTCATTCTGCAGACATACTATCAGGAGGGACCAGTCACTGTAGAAGATACCATATTTGGTAAAGTGGAGGGTCGGAGAAAAACTGTAAGATTCCTAATGAGATGGATTGGCACAGTGGCAACAGTGATGGGCTCAGGTGTAGCAACGATGGTGAAGTTGGGCCAGGACCAGGCAGTGTTTCATTCTGTTGTGCGTAGGGTTGCTATGAGATGCTACAAACTCAATGACACCTAACAACAACAACAATGGCACAGAATTGTGTTATCCAATATGGTAGCCACTAGCTACATGTGACTAATTAAATAAAACTTAAAAATTTTTATTCCTTAGTTTCACTGGACATATTTCTAACAGTGCAGAAGATTCTATTGAATCAATCTGATAAATCATAAGAGTTCTTGAAAATACCCTCATCTAGCTTATTTACCTTTTGGAAAATGTAACACACTTTGTGAAAAACTTCATCTTATAGTAATACTGCACGAGATTCCCTTGAGCATAGACATTTCCACGTTCTGCTGCTTCCCGTAAGCACTGCAGGGCAGCTTCAGTGTTCTGGCGGATGCCTTGTCCATAAAAGTACATGAAGCCAAGAGCACCTTGGGATTCCAGATTTCCATTACCACATGCTTCAGAATGCCAATAAAATGCCTAAGGAAAAGCACAGTTTCATCATTTTATTAGTCACAAAATGGGAATACTGAGATGAAAAATAAACTCTAATAGTAAGGTCATACTGCGCTATCCCACCACTTGTCTGTGAGTTTGTCACACTGTGGTGGCTTGTGTGTTGCTGTGATGCAGGAAGCTATGCCACCAGTATTTTCAATACCCGCAGATTACACTCATGGTGGACAGGTTTCAGCTAAGATTCCAGACTAAGACAAAGAAGGAGAGGTAGACTATTTTTGAATCTTTAGCCACTGAAAAACATATGAATAGCAGTGGAAAACTCTCAGCACCAGATCATTGAATATTGAAACATGATGAAGAGCACCAGAATATTGTCAGATACAGTGCCAGAAGATGAACCCCTAATGTTGGAAAGCACTCAAAATAACCACTGGAGAAGAGCTGCCTCCTCAAAGAAGAGTTTACCACCACGACACAAAAGGAGTAAAGCTCTCGGGACCTTCATTTGCTGATGGGGCACAACTCAAACAGCTGTAAACATCCACTAATAATCAGAGCATGAAATGTATGATATATGAATGTAGGAAAATTAAAAGTTGTCAAAAATGAATTGTCATATATAAAAATCGATAGCCTAGGCATTAGTGAGCTGAAATGGATGGGAATTGGCCATTTTGAATCTGACAATCACAGGCTTTACTATGGTGGGAATGACAAATTGAAGAGGAATGGTGTTGCATTCATCATCAAAAAGGATATTTCAGGATCTATCTTGAAATATAATGCTGTCTGTGATAGGATAGTGTCCATACACCTTTAAGGAAAACCAGTTAATACCACTATTATTCAAATTTATGCATCAATCACTAACACCAGTAATTATGAAATTGAAAATGTTACCAATTTCTTCAAACATGCATTCAAAATGTCTTGATAAATACTAGCAATTGGAATACAAGGTTGGAAACAAAGAGGAATGATCAGTTATTGGGAAATCTGGCCTTACTGATAGAAATGATGCTGGAGGTCGCATGATAGAATTTTACAAGCCAAATAACTTCATTGCAAATACCTTTTTTAAAACAACAACTAAGCTAACTTTACATACAGACTTCATCAAATGGAACATACAGAAATCAAGCTGACTATTTTAGTGGGAAAAGATGGTGGAAATACTCCATATCATCAGTCAAAACAAGGCCATGGGCAGATTGGAACAGACCATCAATTGCTCATAAGCAAATTCAGGCTGAAGCTGAAGAAAATTAAAACAAGTCCACATCAGCCAATATGATCTTGAATATATCCCACCTGAATTTAGAGATCACCTCAAGAGCAGATATGTTGCGTTAGACATTAAGGAACAAAGACCAGAGAGTTGTGGGATGACATCAAGAACAACATACAGGATGAAAGCAGAAGGTCATTTAGAAGACAAGAAAGAAGAAAAAGACCAAAAATGAATGTCAAAAGAGACTCTGAAACTTACTTTCCAGTATAGAGATGCTAAAGCAAAAAGAAGAAATGAGGAAATAAAAGAGTTGAACAGAAAATTTCAAAGGGTAGTTCAAGAAGACAGAGTCAAGTATTATAATGAAATGTGCAAAGATTTGGAGTTAGAAAACCAAAAGAACATGCTCAACATTTCTCAAGTTTAAAGAACTGAAGAAAAAAAATGCAAGCCTTGATTTGCAATACTGAAGGATTCTGAGGACAAAAGGGAGTCCTGGTGCTGTGGGTTAATACGCCAGACTGCCATTAATCACTTCAAGCTTACTAGCCGCTCCTAGAAAACCCTATACAGGGTTGCTATGAGTCGGTGCCAAGTCAATGGTACTTGGAAACAACAACAACAATGATGGACAAAATATTAAATGATGCAGAAAGTATCCAAAATAGATGGAAAGAATACACTGAATTACTGTACCAAAAAGAAATGATTGATGTTTAACTATATTTCAAGAGATAGCATATTATCAAGAGTCAGTGGTACTGAAGGAAAAAGTTCAAGGTGCAATGAAGGCATTGGAAAAGAACAAGTCATTGGGAATTGATGAAGTACAAATAGAAATCTCTCAATAAACTGATGCAGCACTGAAGGCACTCATCATCTATGCTAAGAAATTTGGAAGACAGTTACCTAGCCAACTGATTGGAAGAGATCCATATTTGTGCCCATTCCAAAGAGAAGTGACCCAACAGAATATGGAAATCATTGAACAGTGTCATTAATATCACATGTAAGTAAAATTTTGCTAAGGATAACTCAGAAATGGCTGCAACAGCACACTGACAGAACTGCCATAGGTTCAAGCAGGATTCAGATGAAGACGTGGAATGAGGGACATCATTGCTGACATCAGTTGGGTCTTGGCTGAAAGCAGACAATCCCTGAAAGATGTTTACCTATGCTTTATTGACTATACAAAGGCTTTTGACTATATGGATCATGACAATCTATAGACAACATTGTGGGACTAAGTATTCTGAAACAATTGTGCTCATGAGGAACCTGTACATAAACCAAGAGGCAATTGTTCTAACAGAACAAGGGGACACTTAATAGTTTAAAAATAGGAAAGGTGTGTAATAAGGTATTTTTCACCATATTTATTCATTCTGTATGTTGAGCAAATAATCCAAGACCATCAATTACTCATATGCAAAGTCAGTCTGAAACTGAAGAAAATGAGAAGTCCACGAAAGCTAAAATATGACCTTGAATATACCCCACCTAAATTTAGAGATCATCTGAAGAACAGATTTGATACATTAAACACTGAAGACCGAAGACCAGAGGAATTGTGGGATGACATCAAGAATATTATACAGGAAGAAAGCAAAAAGTCACTGAGAAGACAAGAAAGAAGAAAAAGGTCAAAATTGATGTCAGAAGAGACACTGAAACTTGCTCTCCAGCATAGAGGTACTAAAGCAAATGGAAGTACAAGAGC